TTGTTGTTGTTGTTGTTGTTCTATTTCTATTGGCACTTCAGCCTAACAGCTTGGAAGTGTAACTACACCCAACAAACATTCGACAATGTTAGGTATTTAACAAGTATCTAACACGAATTGCTGTGTGTGTAGGTGCTCTCGCAGGGCTCTGGTGTTGGGGCCTATAAATGTTCTCATCCTTGTTCTCTGACTTTGGCTTGAAAAATGCCTTTTCATTATCCATGAAATTCTGTGCATCTTTGGCTTGCAAACAAAATGTTAGAAATCTCTCTGCTCCTCCCCCTGCCTCTTGCATTCTTCAGGAAAATTTTGGCAGCCTTTGAAATAATAAATGGCTGCATGGTGAATTTAAAGCGTGGGTTTGTGCCATGGCCACARTTCTAAACACTTGCTCGAGAAATGAAAAAGCAGATGAGATCCTTATCTCTTCTCCACCACATCGAGGTGTTTAATCTGACCTGTGCTGGGCTCAAGACCTGTGGCACTCACAGAAAAGGATATTTTCTTCTGACAGCTGATACTTATTTTCACTAGCATGAGCCGCAGCATTCTCTCTTCCAGGGATGAGASTGTAGTTCCTCCTGTCAGTATGAGAGAAGGAGAAGAAAAGGTTAAGTGATATGAATAACCAGTTGTTCTGTGATAACATTCCAAGTTCAGTAACTAATTTCCATAATTATCTGTCTCACAGTACTGGCTGGATCCTGCCAAGACCCTCGCGGAACATAAAGAATTGATAAACAGTATGTATCTAATTTGAACATAAAGGACAAAAATGAAGTAACAGTGTTCCATGCAGAATATTTCTATTCTAGTCACAACAGATTGACAGTTCTTAGCAAGTTTGTCATTGCAGTTCCTAATGGTGGCAAAATTTCACATGCAGATTGCATATGGTATCATTTAAGATGTGATTATTGTCCAAAGACTTCTGTGTGATTAAATTTTGTTTTAGGCTAATAAGTGGTGCTAATCTTAATTTGTATAATTAATTTTATAGTAGCTGTGATGCCTCCATCATGCTTAGCATAACATAACTAACTTAGATTSCCTTTTACATCTCAAAGTAAAAATAGTTCCTCCTACTGATAATAGATATTTTCTGTTGCTGGCAATAGAAAAGACAAAAGTCTTCAGATGTGGCAGATGCTAGATCTGTTGTATTTAGTACTAKTAAAGAATGTGATTTGGAGATATTTTTTAAAAAATATGCAGAAGTGGACCATGCATGAAATAATAGAGCTGTAAGAATTTTGGTACTGAGTAATTGGAATAACAGGAGAGTAATTTTTTTAAAAGGTATATTTGAAGATCTTTTTCAAATATTTCTAAAATTAATTGGCACATTATTAAAGATGGTCTGTRAGGTATTTGGAAGCATGGAAGGGATTGCTGTTCAATATTATTATTATGACATGGAATCACATTTCATGCACAGTTAAATTTTTCAAAAAGCTTCAGTGAAAAATAATTTAAACATCAAAATCAAGCAGCAGAAAATTTATCTTGGAGAAATAGTAATTTAGCAATAAAAGTAAAGTGAAATATTCAAAATAAGCAAAAATTACAAGTAGACAAGATGTAAATAACGAAAAGATTAAATAAATGTTAATAAAAATAAATTTTCCCCCCTCATGTGTAATGAGTGGAGATSTATGGATTTGCTGTGTAAATGTCACATTTTTTCTGAAAATTGCAAGTATCTTAATAAAATATTAAGATAGGCTCCTTTGTTGCTATTTTGTAGACAACTAATAACAATTCATTCTAATTTAGCAGTTCATGACAACTCACTTGACACAAAATATTTTTTCCCGTAGCTGGACCACCTTACACTCTGTATTTTGGCATTAAATTTTATGCAGAGGATCCGTGTAAACTTAAGGAAGAAATAACAAGGTACAGTACTTAATAAAAATGTGGTTTGTTGATCTCAGGCTAGCAATATATTTCAGCCAGGTGCATACTGTTGTGGTGTGTCTGGTCTGGKTTTTTTTTTCTTTCAGCTTGAACATCTACATGTTTTTGCTTGAACATTGGTGTGTAGGAAGAAAATGGTGATTAATTTCACAGTGCTTGGTAGTGACAACTGTAAGAAAACTCAGGAAGAAAATATATTCTCTGGTGCATCAGAAATCAAAGGGTGCATTTGTTGGGGGTGGTGGTTTTTTCCCCTTATTTTCAGTAATGCATTGCCACAGCTGCATTTATATTGTGCTATAACCAACTTCAAAATTTACTTGGATATTAAATATAAATATAGGGAATTTTCTTTGTTGCCATAGCTTAAATTCCAGAACTGTTTTTCAAGGGGATTTCCTTCAGTCTTACTAAAAATATGTGAAGGAAATTGAAGAGTTGCATTCTTCTGATTCTTTCACCCAAGCTTGTCCTCTGCAAGGTATGAGTATGCACACAATAACACACRCACATGCTTGCACACAGACACACTCACATGGTTATCTGAACTCTCTCACAGTTTTGGGGTTTTCTGTTTGTTTTATTTATTAAATGTCTCAGACAATTAGTTATAGGTTCAAAAGGAAATGTGAGAATTTGGGGAGGTAGGCGGTCAAAGTTAGTGTGCTGGCTTGCCTTAACAAATGCCAAAATATTTCTTTTGATGTCCTAAGAATGTGACACATGAGGACTCATTAGAATGCATGCGAGGTTTTTAATTTTCCTTAATCAAAGGTTGTAGCATRTACAGAATATTTTTCCTTTACTGGAGTGAGAAAATTCTTTTGTTTCCATACTGGCACAACAGGAAGGAAGGTCTCCAGCATAGCAAGATGCAGACTGGCCTGGTAAAAATAATAAATGCTCTGATTTTGCAGGTAAAAAGGCATAAGCTGACKGCAATGGGATGCCCTGTACTGTGGAATTCTGGTGCAGTTTTCTCGTACTTTCCCAGAGCAGCTTTAATCCTGCTCACAGGGAAAGGCAGGTGTCCCTGGGAAAGGGAACTTTGGCCRCTGAACCTGTTGTGGTCGCCAACAGGTAGAGTCAGTGGGCTAAATTCTCACCGATTCTCCCTTTGCCCTGTGAGAAGGCCAGTCAGTGATCTGCACTGCTGATCAGGTGTGTGAATCCATGCGGGAAGTGTTGCAGTGTCATTAGGAAGCCTCTGTCCATGACTTCACAATATTTGATTGTGCCAATTTGGCATTTTTACATGGTACAGAGGGAGGGCCAGGGAAAGCAATATGATGATACTGCCAGTCTTCTACAAGACACATTGAATAGTCACATACCCGTAACATTTATGAACACTCATTCCCATAGGCTCTTAAATCTTGGAGGGCAGGCTTTGGGGTTTTTTTTTTGTTTTGTTTTGTTTTATTGTTTTTGTTGTTGTTGTTTGGAAAATAATAATAACAACAACAATAATAATATCATGCTCTTAAAATAATTTGGTTTGGAAGTGACCTTTAAAGGTCCTTCCACTTAGGAGGCCTTAAAGGCCCTATTTTCATTTATAATAATAATTTTCTGTCTAAATGTGAAATTCCAGTGATGTGTTAACTGGTTTCTGCTAACTGGCGTGTTTCTTTGGAGCATGTATTTGTTACTTYAATGGGCATGAAAGCGAGCTCTGCTGTTATTAGATTCTGATGATCTGTGCCATTACATGATTAYGCTTTTCAAGTAATGAAAACCTGTCAAATTTGTAATTGCTTTGCAGCAGGATGTGTCTGGCTCGTAGGCAAGAGCCAGCACTGCAGTGTTTGCTGGGTGTGTTTGCTAGAGAGAAACTCGCAATTAGGACTCTAGTATTTGCATGACAAACATGACAGCACAAGATGAGAGTGCTTTAGCTATAGGTATGGACAAAAGGCCTGGTTTTGTGAGGAGCTCAGCAGCTTCGGTGGAAATTGAGATTGTTCATCTTATGGGGRCACTCAAACAATTAACAGTGCAGCATGCAGGTGTATTTTGAAGTTTCCCCYGCTGCTTCATTTTGAGACAGAAATACAGGTACCTGCTCCAAGGACAACATATTTGTAATATCATCTGGTACAAATCTCTCCTTTTTAGAGGTGGAGAAATTCTAGCAGAAGTGTGGGTGTGCATACGCAATGTGTTTCATGTTGGAAAGAAGATGTTGCGTACTCCACAGAAGATGTAAAAYCACCTTGGTCATTATCATAATTCATACAGGGAAAGTTTGCATAAGTGGGATTGCAAGCATAAATTTGAAGCAGGGCTGAGGTATTGCTCAGAGTGAAGAAACACTGAGTGTCTGTGCTTTGTGTTGCCCAATGACATTCCAGAACATTCTTGTGCAATGCCGTGTTCCTTTAAGGTAGAGAACATTAACCATTTTTTTAGAGGRTGGACGTTCCTACCATAATATCTGCCACAGCACGAATTCTGGGGGAATCATTAATCAGAAAGACATGGTTATCTTTATTCAGAGGCTCATCTGATAATGTCTAGGAAATTTGGCTGGACCTTAATTTTTTGAGTCAGCCACCATGTAACCTGCARTCTGTAAACTTCCCTGAAATCAGCATAGATACACTTTGTACTTAGAGATCATTCCAAGGTGCTTTCATAAATAACTTGTACTAACACAGAGTAAATTATTTGCAGAGTAGCTGGATGACTTTATGTGTATTKTAATTGAATTTATGAACTATGGAAAAGCTACATGCTTGTATGGAAGGCCTTTTTTTTCTTCTGTAAGAAGTTACCTTCTCTGTATTTGTAACTTTTGTAGGAAATCAGYGCAAGAAATTCACTTAGGATGATGTGAAACACACCACAGATCTGTTGTAATAAAGCCAGAAAAAATAGTGAAAAATCCAAACAGTGTTTAAAAGATTTTTTGTAAGTCATTATGGGAAGTTGCAAAGCTGCAGGTCCTTTATACAATGTCTTATCTTGTCTTTTCCATCTGCTTTGGGCATATTGATTCACTYTAAGTGGTCTCAGCTTTATCAAGTGCAGACTTTGAAAATTACGTTTTCAGCCTTGCTATGTCCAGGCAGGAGAGTACCCTTTGCTGTGGCAGATACAGTTGCTGATGGGACACACATCCATCTTTTTCATGGGCTCCATCAAACCCATCTGCTGCATTATAGTTGATACTCTGATGTGTGGAGAGGGAATATTTGAGTAAGGAAGCATCCAACACCCAGTYCTCCTTTATGTTGATCCATTGATGAGTTGAAGCTTTTGCCCTTTGGTAGGTTTCTTGTTCAATTTTTCTGATTCCTATGCCTCTTCCCCACTTCCTGTGTGTTCTGTGAAAACCAGAAGAAGGAAATGACACTTCAAGGCAATAATTAATTGCATCTGCACAATATAAGCAGATTGGAAAACTAGGGAGTGGTCCCTTAGCCAGGTTGTTTCATTGGATTAATCTTTGTTGTTACTTCGGGGTCAATAGGAGAAGTCATTTAGGGAGAAATAGAGGCTTTTTCTGTCACACAGTTATGGTACATGGTATGTCTGCTGTAAACTGGATTGTTTTGAAATATCAGTTGGAATTGAAATAACAACTTTGTTTTTCCTCTGTGTTTTAGGTATCAGTTTTTCTTGCAGGTAAAGCAAGATGTCCTACAGGGCCGTTTGCCTTGTCCAACCAACACTGCAGCACAGCTGGGAGCATACATAATTCAGTGTAAGTTCTCCTGGCCTTCTGAGAGCTTATTTCTTTCAATCCTTCATTGTGACTTAAGATGTCATTAACACTTTATGCATTCATTTCAAAATGAACATTTCAGAACAAGTAGTGCAGCTGAATTAATTTCAGAGCTGTAAATAAATGATCATTCTGAATAGATGATGCAATAGCAATACGGATGTTAATGTAAGCAAAAAACTTAGAAGTCTTTCTGAATGCTCTGCTAAACACTTTTTGCCTTGCTGAGGGATATTTTATCATGTACTCAAGATTTCATGACTTTGGATAAAAGGTAGAGTTTGACAAAACCTTCATCAGGAGATTGACAGATTTCAAAGGCAGACTTCCATCACAAAATCTGCCAATAAAAGATTATTTCAAAAATTATCTTATGTCAATATGAGTGCACACTTGCTTGAAGGARGGATGTGATTTGACCTGAAGTGAAGAATTTTCATTTTATTCAGAATTTATCTATATCCAGCCATCAGTAGAGACCTTTCCAGAAGTCCTGGATATATAACAGAACGAGCAATCAATTAGAAAGATCTGTCTGCCTATTGCAGCTGTTTTTCTTTTTCCATTACAGCTCCAGATCTATATTCAAACACAATTGGTAACCAAAAATTGTGTGAAGAGCCATGCTGGGACCTCTGTAATTTATTCTGTGTCAAATTTAGATTTGTCTAAAGTGATATGTATCAAGAAAGATTATTTGTATTATTGGTGCTACAAGTGTGACTCAACAATATGTAATACTACATTAAAAAATATTCCTCCTTTCATGTCCATTTTAGAATGACAAGGCAGAATAACMTCAGTGTGAAGCTGGAATGGGCATTGTATAGGATTTCATGGTGCTTTGTATGTGTATCTGAAAAGCTAAAATTTCGTCAGTATTTATTTTTGTGCAACTATTTTTGACTTAATTTTGCCATTTAAAAAATATGACTGAAATATTCTGAAAAATTGTTTGCAATGCACCTTTCACTTACCTGTCACACATGCCTTCCCTGAAAACAGTACTGCAAACGTGATGCAGGAAAATATGCAATGATGGTAACATCTTTATTTTATTACAAGAAATTAATGAAAAGGGTAAATTTGCATCCTTTAGTCATTTTGTAAGGTGATTAGAGCTGTTGTTTTGGTGTAGTGACCTGTTCCTGTAATTCTAATCTCAAATATTCTGGTGGAAAACAATGAGAAAGYTTATGGGAGAGAACTTAAGTCATGGCCAAGGTTGCGAAGATGGGTTAAAGTTATCCCAGGCACCAGAAAGGGAAAATTCCCACTAGCTCTACAAAAAGCTTTATCCTTTTATTTAGGGCTTGCAGTTCTTCAAAGTATGCAAAGACACCTAAGAAATGTCTGTGCTAGACAATGAACACATAATTTGCATGGAGGTCTTCCAGAGAAACCTCTCAACTGAGAGAAGGCCTGCCTACTGAGCAGATCACTGTCTTTTTTTCTAGCAATGGCATTTCAACATTTTGGAAAGAAACATCAATAATTAAATGAGTTTTCTCCTTTTTGGCTCTTGAAGACTCCTTTTGGCTAAGTTTTTGGCTTAGTGGGTATTGGATAGAAACTTYCTGTGAAGTCTTTCTCAGAGAAATCCCCTCTATAGATATTTCTCAGTTATTTAAAAAATTGAAATACTAACTTTTACAGACTTTCTCAGATGGATGCAGGTTTTGTTAACTCAGTGGATGTGAGTTCTGGCCAAGGTGCATATTAATTTTATAATTATATTGCAACATATAAACAGAGATGATTAATATGTAAAAATCAAGGATTTTTAAAGAAAATTGTATTGGCTATCCATTATGTTGTTTTATTTAAGTAAACCATTTTAAAAGTGATTTTTATTTTAAATTTGAGTTTAATATCCAGGAAATACATTGATATTTTATTGAAAAAGGAAATCTTGTGATTCTTTACAAGAAATGCRTACCATTAGAGGACCTTCCCTCTAGGAGTCTCAGGATGTTTATCGCCATTTGCATTCCCAGCAATTTATATTAAAATTCCAGCAATAATATGGATCTGCCAGTAATACTGCAGCTTATCATAAGAGTATAGATATTACAAAACTAGACTTCTACACTTGTTTTGTAGATGCTGCCAAATAATCACTGTCATTGAATTTAAACTCTGCTAGCTTGGTCAAAATTTTGTCTGGCCTATAGGAGTAGTGAGTATCCTGTCAAGGCTCCTAGCTCTTTATAGCTCTAACTTTCTATATATATGTTAATATGTGTGAATTCATTTTTTTTTCTTGGTTTTATGATGTGGATACTTCTGTATTCTCTTCCTTTTTTCCTCTCTTTKGTATCTGGCTGCGAATTAGACTGGCTGTCAGCTGGAAAGGGGTGGCTAGGCATCAGTGTGTAGATTATATAACACATTTTTTTGGTTGAGAAGAAGCATGACCTTTTTTTTCCTCCTTGTGCCCCCTAGCTGAGCTGGGGGACTATGACCCGTACAAGCACACCGCGGGTTACGTCTCCGAGTACCGCTTTGTTCCYGACCAGAAGGAAGAGCTGGAGGACGCCATAGAGCGGATACACAAGACTCTGATGTAAGAATTCAGAACAGTGGGGAGCTGAGCAGGTAACACAGACTCAGGTGCTTGGCAGGTGGGGAAAAGCAGCTGGTGGTGCACAGTGGAGGTTTCTAGACTTGAGGGAAGGGCACAGGGAACCCATGCATACCTCTCAGAAGCAGAAAAGATTTCACATAACTGAAGCTGTTTTTTAAGAACTGAGTAGGACAATAMCTGGAAATGTGAGGCCTGTCAGACCTAGGTATGGGTGTTTCAGAATTGGCAGTTTTAATGAAGCATGTGCCAGAAATTCAACTGTACTGAGAGCCAAAATAAACATTTACTTGCTTGTCTCTGAGTTCATGTTCCTGGTAAGTGTAAAGAAGCTTGTTCTAACAAATCCAAGTTAGGTGCAATTGTGATATAATCGTTTATGAAGATGAGAGCAGTAAGGAACCTTTCAGGAGTGTGTTCCCTCTACCCTTTGTCAAAATAATGCAAAGAGAATCAGTTGCCCATCTCGTAGTAGATCTAAATTTCTTGATTCTCTTGCTGTAATGAAGCCACAGTCTGGATAAAGGTTAAGTAATTTTTGGCTGTAGCATTGTGTGTTAATGTTATACGTGTCTTGTTTAATGAGAGTGGGTGTTAACTCAGGGTCACAGCTGCTCTCTTTGAAAAGTTCTCCAGTAATTGGAGTCTGCCAGTTGCCACACTGACCTGAGCTTTCTCTTCCAGGGAGGAGGGTTTGTTGTCAATAATTATTTCTGTGTGTTTGCATGACAGCCTTGTATGAATTGATACATTTCAGCAAACTTACTACAGGTAGTTCTATGAAGCAAAAAAGCATTGYTTTTTCCATTTCAGAGAGTGGAAACTGAGTCACAGATGGTTTGCAAGATCACAGAAACAGTTTGTGAGAAACTTGAGATGTATTGCTGTGAGCTAAGCAGCCTTCATTCCTCTCTCTCAGGTTTCTGTAGTCATTAGTGTAGTAAATCAGATTAGTTCCTAAAAGGTTTGCAGCCTTGACAATGAAATTCAGAAGCCMGTGGTTGTGAAGGGAAGTGACCACTGTCATAACTCTGTCTCTGCTCTTTTTATATGCTTGATCTGGAGCTCTGGGGCTGTTTTGCTGCCTGGCTGCAGTTGGGTGTCTCAGGAATTTGCATCATCAGAGCAGAGTAAAGCCAAGGGGTACCCATTGCTACTATAGTGCAGCTGCACTACAGCACTGTCAGCTCTGACTCCTGCACAGGTGGCTGCAGTCTCCTTAGTTAAGAGATGTGAAGCTCTAATRGCTGAGGGCATCCTAAATGGTCCCACTGATCAGAGACATTTTAGGGACAGGTTTATGATATGGTTGGGAAGAAATGTTTTATCTTTCTGGATCCCACAATGGAAACACAGGGATTTTAAAATTTTTTTCTTGTTTTTTTGAGGACAGCTGTGGTTCTTTGTATACCTTCCTTCTCCTAATTGTGAGTTATGCCCAGAAAAAACWATTTTTGGTTGCATGCTTTCTCTCAGTCTTTTACACACCACAGTAGCTATTCAGGGATTAATTAAGGATGCAGTTTTTTGAGAGAGTTTCTAAATCAAGAAAGGTAAGGGAAGGAAGGTGAGCGAAGATGGGAGGCGGTTCTGGCTGCATGGAGTCTCTGCAGGCTTTGACTGTTATCCTCTCTATAAACCAGTACGACAGTCCCAAGGTCAGAGCGCATTATGAGGTGACCTTATGTTTCTGTTCTATGTGTCTGGAGGATCAAGCAGTGACTTTGGGGCTCCCACATCTGGAAGCAAAGACAGTGTGGTGCTGGAGGAGAGGTAGAATCCCTCAGTGCAGAGAGGGGTTGCTGCTGTCCGTGCCCATTTCAGGCTGTGAGAGATCTGCCATCGACCGGTGCTGGGCGAGTCAGCTGCTGCTGTGCTTGGAATCAACATTTCATACTGCCAGTGGGGCATAAATGCAAAAAATGCCCTGATACTTGGCTTTAAAAGTAGTTTTCGATGTTGTCTAGGGCCTCAAGTGGCACTCAGGTGCCCTTTGTCCATCCAAGGGAGTGTGTGTGTCATCTGTGTGGCTGTCACTTTGCCAGCTCTGTCACTCCCAGTGGCAAAGATTGCTTGTGTTTTGGGATGTGTGATGCTGAGGAGAGTTTGTGTTTTCACACACGATAAAAATGAAACACCCTTTGTACTAATGGGAGTTCTTTCAGTCCCTGGCAGTCCTTCATCCCTTCATGKTCTGGCTTCTCCATCTGCTTTTTGGGAGGACTCCAGATTCCATCTGCTTCCTTCAGGAGCTCCAGCTCATGTCTTTACTTCCTTCAATATTTTTGCAAATTCAATTTCTAATACATGGTGTATTACTGTGGAAGTATTTATAAAACCACTCTCAGACACTTAAAAATATTTGAGCCTTTTGGTCCTTTCAGAGACAGGTGAGAATAGTGGAATACGTGCATCAGCATTTTTCTAAGAGTGTCAGTAAGGAAAGACTTAGCAGCAGTGTTTAAATTGGTATTGTATTTTAGCACTAATTTAGTAATGGTAATCCACTTTGCTCAAGATTGRTATTTAGCCTGCTTGAGAACTCATTGAGACAATATTGCCCCTGTGAACGTTTTACTTTACGTTTCTGGGAGCCACTTCCAAGATTTTAAATTAAAAATCAAGCTGTGGAGTAAACTTCTACAGCAAACGTATACAAAACGCATGACAGATGTGACATTGGTGATGTKCTGAATATCCAGAGTTCTGTGTCCTGAATACAGATAATGAGTGACACATCTACGGGGACTTGAAGAAAGGGATTTCTCTTCCAAACTCCAGGTCTGCTGCTTTTCCAGGAGAGAAGAGCACCTAAAAGAGTGGCATTGCTGTCACATGGATAAGAGGAGCTGCAGCAGTCTGTCTCCCAGATACAAAGGGGGCATTTTAAATACCTTTGAACACCTTTAAACAMCTATTGCATTCATATCGGCACTGCTGTTCCACATCTTTGACTTTGGAAGAGCTTTTTTCTTCATCAGTCATAACACAGAGTTGGGAAAACCTGGCTGAAAGACTCTAGAAAAGAGACAGTGGGGAGACAGGAAGCAARAATGTGCATGTTGCAGGACCTTTACACATCTTGAGTCAAAATGTTAAATGTAGAATGCTCTACTTCACACTTTGAAAGGTAGCAAATCCAGTGAAGTATTTCCCCAAGAAAACCAACAGGATGAAGCAGGATATGCATCTTTTTGAACTGATATTTTTGCAAGATGTGCTGTACTTCCCTAATAATAGTTCAGTTACTTTCAGAGTAAAAATGAAAACACAGCTTCAGCTACTACAAAAGAGAACTTTGCTCTTGTATCAATGTCAGATATTAAGGGAAGARCAAATTAAAATCTGAAGACAAAGTTTTGAATTTATTTAGTTGTTTTATTCTTTTTGAAAATAAATCCATTGTCAGTGATGTCGAATATGTTCATGGGGCCAGGATTTTTCTTTCACCAGTTTTCCTCAGTTGTTTCCTGCCACTGGTACTTTGTAATTGATGGATTGATATCTGCAGGTAGGAAGGCAGGCTGGATCTTTGAAATGGCTAATCTTATGAGACAGAATCCAGACATTGTTTTCAGTGTCGCACATTTGGGTGGTACCAGCTGTTGTGATTTACTATAAGCAAGATTTTTTTTGAGAAAGGAATAGTTTATCTGAAGTTATGAACCTTGCTTTCAGAAATAATTTTTAGCTCCACMTGTGCTAGGGGGAAATAACACCCCAGCCACTCATACTGCTCCTGCTTTATAATTAATAATGTAATTATTGGAAAAAAGGGGGTTTTTTTGCATATTGAAGCCTAAAAATGAAATGTCTGAAGCATTTTTGTTACAGTAAGGAAGAGGTTAGCCAGTGCATCAGACAAACAGCTAATTTATTACAGCATATATGTCTGTGGTAGGAGACTGCTCAAGATCTACTCTCATTTGGAATAAGAAAAAATTCAGTGTTGAAAAGACAATGATAGTCTAAAAAACTGGTAAGAAGGGCTGCTGCATGTCTGTCCAGAAAAGTGTATTTATTAATATGATCTATTTTTATAGTCATTTGGAATTGCAAGGTTCTTACAAATAATTGTGTTTAYAGGGGTCAAGTTCCTGCTGAGGCAGAAGTGAACTACCTAGGGGTGGCCAAGTCTCTGGAAATGTATGGAGTGGATCTCCATCCTGTTTATGTAAGTGATAACTGTGAAAAATAATTGCTGCCCTGATGTGTGAAACAATATTTGTATGGTTTTGTTGCCACAGAATAACTTGAAAGGAAGCATTACTTAAGAAATGCAAAGGGACGTACATTTCCGGATGGAGAGGATTCAGTCATTCATACATACTAAAGCCTAATGGTGTTCGGATTAAATGCTGTGATTGTATTACACCTATAAAAACCAATCAGTTATACTCTGGGAAAAAAAAAAAACCTGATTCAGATAAGTAAGAAATTTGTGCAGGTGTCAGGAGACATGAATGAGGGTTACAGCCTATATCTTTGACCGAAGAATTTGYGCATTACTTTTACTTAAATGTAAGCAAATATGTCCTGAAACCCTTTCAATACCATTGCAAAAATTAGGSTGTAGTAGCAGTAACAGGTCCAGCTTTTAAAAATATTTGTTGTAAAGGTTTTACTAAAGATCCAGAGTACATTTCCGTATTCTCCCATGTTGTGTCATGCAGCATTGCAATTCTGTATTGCCTCAGAAAAACTCTCCACTTTTTTTGTCTGTCAATATGTATGTTGGGATTGGATCCAAGTCGTCACCTGGAGGCTATGTGCTCCTGGTGGAAACATCATTCTGTCTTGTCTGGATTATTCTGCTTGTGGCAGGGYTTTTTTTGAATAAAAGAAAATCAAGAGTTCAAATGGGGACTTGTAGTGTAGATAGTTCACTGRGTTAGATGCCTATACTTCTTAAAATTACTTAAAAGAAAATAAAGAAATCAAGGTACTACCTGAAGATTAAGTATGTATTTCCTGCTGAAAATGTGTAGCCTGCAATATAAAGTCTGTTTTAATGCATCCTGTGGCTTAATTGTATTCATATCCCAGGCTTTATTCACCTCCCACCCATAGAAAGCTGGGGAGTTACTGGAACAAGCTTCAGCATGATCCAACAAAATCATGTTAAATAAGCACAGCCTGGARTTTTTTTTAACTTTTTTTTTTTCTCATAGCTTGCTTTTGTTGTGCAATGAAACCCCAGCCTGGGTAACCTGTGAACATCATTGTTCTTGCTTGCATTAGATCAGCAGCAGAAACCCACGTTTGAGATTGAAGCCACATGCGTTATAAGATGTAGTTCTTTCCCTCCTTTGGTAATGTGAAAAGTTGCGTTTAGCAGTTGATCCACTGAGGAGCACAGGCAGAGCCAGGTGTGCTGGACCTTTGTCAGCCCTGTAATCCCTTTCAGAACACTTTCTTGGTGCCCCTCTCACAGCTGATGATTTTGCTGTTCATGCCCTGCTGATTTAGAGCTTGCAGGGTTTTTCCTCATTGCCCCAAGCAGKCAGGTGAATGAGCCTTTAGAGCTCATTTTGAGCTGCAAAAGGAACTTTATCCCAACCTTTTGTGTTAGGGTTTACACTCCTTCTGATGARGGTTTTGGTTACTGACTGTGAGTTGAGGCAGTGGGGCTGTTCTGCTGCTCRGCACCAGGGTTTTCTCCCTGTTCTCTCCCAGTGCAGTTTGGGATTGGTATTCTGACTTCAGGAATGGTTTCCTTTTCTCAGCATGTGGCTKTTCCCACCTGCCATTACCCTTTCTGAAAGACAACAACAAAAAAAGCTTGACTCTCCCAAAGGAGAGAGTTAGAGGCAGCAGCAGCTGACACAATTTTAGGAGGGGAAGGCAGCTGCCTGGTTGTGTTATAGGCATTTATCAAACAACAAAAATTAATTCAGCAAGAAAATGAACAAAAAGGTATTTCTGTTTTTCACCATGGTGTGTGGAAACTCCCTTATTTTTCCTCATTGCCATTCTTTCTAGCTTCTTTTCCCCCAAAACTACAAATTTTCATATAGGAGCCTTCATCAGTAGATGAAGTACTATTTTCCCATTTTTAGAGAGAGGGAAACATTCAGGTGACATTCAGGTCACCAGGATGAATTCCTCACTGAACCTMACTGTTATTGTGATTCTACTTGTAACTACATGAATAATGTGGATTTCTATTTYCCAGGGTGAAAACAAATCTGAATACTTTTTAGGATTAACACCCATAGGAGTTGTTGTCTACAAGAATAAAAAACAAGTAGGAAAGTATTTCTGGTATGTATTATTTAAATGTGCAGTCTGCACTAAAACAAAACAATGTTATATGGAAGTGTATGATGYGTGAAATGTATGGATCTATTAAAAAGATTTAATTATAGCAACAGAAATAAAGTATACATGGAATTCCTAATATTCCTCTGGATTATGCAGATTTCTAATTCTTTGATAATCCAAATATTGAAAACAGTAGATCACCTTTACCATACTCACACTGAAATGCTGATATATTTACCTTGTAAATAAATCTATCTGTGAATTTTTTTCTTGTCTGTGTGTAAATRTATGCAACTTTATATTTTATTATGCATGAAATTAAAGGCTAATGAAGTTCTGTCTGACTTTTTTTTCCAATATTACAGGCCTAGAATTACAAAAGTTCACTTCAAGGAAACACAGTTTGAACTTCGAGTCCTGGGAAAAGATGTAAGTTTTTATTTAGGCCTGAAAGGATGGAAAAAGTAATCTCAGGTGTGATAAAATTGGAAATTTTGTGCGCTTGCACAGTCTAATTTGTTTTATTTAACTTTACAGTAAGAAACACAGTGCGGTTGGAGGGAACCTTACAAAGCTGTCAGAGACAAAKAGGCAGCCACATTTCATAGCTTGAAACCATTTGTCAGATTTTAACATCACTGTGCTCTTAGACCATTTGAGATAAAGCATCATTGGTTCCAGTGGGGCAAGGACCACAGGCTGATGGCAAGAGAGGAGGTTTTAAGATAGAGCAAGTGAAAGAAAAAATCAAAAATTTCCCCACAAAGCATGTGGAGTAGGGGGAGGAGGAGGCTATTGAGAATGTGGGGGGAAAAAAATGTAATAAAAAAAATAGTTGCAGTCAGTCTGTGGTTTTTGCTGTCTGATTTAGTTATAAGTTTAGTTTGCTGAATTATTTTTTGAAAATACTTCACAAGTCTTTTTGGAATATGAAAGTTTRTGGTTTCATAAGAACTGAAAGTTTATACTTTTAAGTATCATTAACTGGCTCTCAGTAAGGCCGTTTTCCGTTTATCTATATGTCTTTGTTCATCTATGTAATGGTTGCTCATCTCATCCATGATTTTTCCATGAGGACATCTGTCTTGTCTCCTATCATGGACAGCATTTCTTGTGCCTTTGTACATGAAYTGGCAAATCTTTCTTTTGTGGAAAGATTTGGAGTGGTTGTTTATACTTGGTGTGGTAACCTATGGGAATTTTATTTTTGAAGGTGTGTTTGTTGAAATAGGAGAGTTTGAAGGCTGGGGGGAAGGTGGGGAGAACTTTTCACCATGTTTCATGTGAAGGGTGAGTGATAGTTCAAGTATAAACAAGTCCAGGTTTGACTTGGAGTGAATTGCTKGGAAGTGAAGCTGCAGCTTCTGTTTGATGCCACATTTCTTCAGCTTTTGTTTTAACCATGTGGGATTGTAAAGGCTGAATAGAAAATCTGGAAAGTTTTGGAAAAGATGAAGCTGTGAATGTGACGGCTGGTGAACTCTCACTAATGTGATCATAAGGCAAGCATTTTGACAGAACYTGGTAKTTTCAAGCCTCGACAGGAATTTCTAGGAAATTGTTGAAGAGAACAGTAAGTGCAGGGGTGTGTACCATCGTTAAATTGGCCTTTGCAACTAAAACTGATCTGAAGTATTTCTGCAGCACTTCATATCCTTACAAGATCAGGAGGGGCCAAATTKGCACAGAAAAATCTCTTTCCTTTTTTTAACAGTCTGGTGGTACTTTGAAAAAAAAAAAAAAAATGGAATAAGCAGGCACTAACCTCAACCCCTGGATTAAAGTAATCATAGAAATTTATGCTGTTTTTTTATGCTGYTTTACAGCCAGAGGAGGAAAAGCTCATCAGTGTATTTGTATGAATGTATGTCCCGATACTCTCGAAAAAAAAAGATTCACAAATTAATTTTATTCCTCTGTTTGTTTGGTTCTTTTTT